AAAGTACAAAAAAAAAGGGGTGGTATACATACTGATAAATCTATAACAGACATACACACACTTAACATTGAGAAATTTAAAAATAAATAAACCTTCAATGGGGCGTAGGCGAATTGTATACATATTCAGGTAGTTATTGTTGTGAAAGGTGTACTATGTTAACATGTTACACAGTAAAATTATAGCATGAATGCTACAAGTCAATCTCCCCTCTGTGTGTGTTCAGTCCAAATGATATGGATTTAAAGCTTGAACTAATGTAGTGAGAATAAAAACAATTATTTGTAGTTATAAAATGAAACTTATTTAAAATAGCATCAACTTCATTATTTTGGAAAATTAATTATGGTTTAGAATTGTAAAAACTGCAACAGTTATTAAGGAACGTATATCTTATTCATGACGAGTACAGAAAAAGGTGCTAATCGATAAGTTACTTGTTTATCATTTTTTTTTTTTTTTTTTTAGAACAAACTTAAGATCAAACTGAATGGCGTTGGTACTTTTTTTTATACACTTGATACGGATTCATTGCGAGCTTTCACGTAGAATTGTGACATTAACAAAATCGGTATCTGCGCATAATTTTTTTAAACAAGTTTTTCGTTTAGACGTTTTGTGAATATTACATTATTTACGGTGTGTAAATCTAACTTAATACTTTATCACTATTGTACGTAAACGAAAAGACTTATTGTATTTTTTGTTTTTTTAACACTATCGCTTGTCTTTACGGACCGTTTGTTATTCTGCAGTGCTGCTGTAAATTTATATAGCTGGTGCGCGCGTGTGTATGTTATTATGTTCGTTTTTGGATATCCCGAATTTTATTGTCTTTAAGCAGAGGCCAAAAAGGTTAAGGTGAGTATACACGTTTTTAAAAGAACAACCGCCTGAACAGCGGGAGGAAGCCGAGGCGTTTGTGTGAAGCACGTGCTACGGTCATATTTCAAGTAAAATGCCCTTGCACCCTCCCCCCCTCCCAAACACATTCCCCTCCAACTATGCGGCTCCTAATGACCGTCTTCTACATACCAAAGCAGCTCCTCTCCCTGTTATTTTTACACGCGTTACCGGTGGGAGTGTCTTTTCTGCCCAGTCTCCTACGGTGTATGTGTAGGTTAAGACCTAAACACAAGAGTCAGTCTGACTTTCTACAGTTTGTGCGTATACGGGTTAACCAGCTGTGGTTATAATATGGCGCGTCGCTATCGATAAAGGTTTTCATTGAAATTGCTAATTTCAATAACATTACCGAAAAAAAATTGTACTCAATTTAACGCCAACACACGTTTGAACGAAATACTAAAAAGCCATAATAAACAATGAGATGCGGTATATTAGTCGAGGTAAAAACTCAAATGCAAGTATTCAATGGCGAAGAAACCTTTTAGGGCACACAAAGCCAGCAAACATAATATCCTTCTACGCTTTTAGGCACTCGAGAAAAACTTTGTTCTTCTATTATCGTCGTTTCAAATATTGTTGTTGTTATATTTTTATACTATTAATATATTTACACAACTTGTATAGATTTGTTTTTGTCATTTACTTCTCCTGTAAATAATCGTTACAGTCATACAACTGACGGTATATACTTGCCTAATCTAATGCTAGTTTACTTAAACTCCTATAAGTATAAATTATATACCCAATGCCACAGTAACACACTGTTTTTCATACTTTGTTCACACCCGTTACATTAATGCGTTTATGACAATTTGCAATGTAAACTACAATAATACATTTTCGGCAATAAGCTTCTCATAGGCACATAAAATATTCGTTCAAAGTGTGCTGTTGTTTTATCAGAACAATTTCTAAATTATATTCATTATCCACTCTTTTTTAATGTTAATAGCTATTGTTTTATTGACTATCCAAGGGGTAAAGGTGTAGGGGTAGTATCTGTCGACTTTCATCGGGTGTAATTATTAAAATTTTTTGGTAACAAACTGTTTTACAAAATGTCAATGATGTTTGGATTTTCCTGGATTATATTGTCTGACCTTGGGATTATTTTTCATTATTTTGTGGTTGCTCAAGCTGTAAATATACACATATTTTGTATGTAAAGTTTCTATAAGATGACATATTTTTATTTGCCAAAAACTAGATATGGAACAAGTAATTATGAAAAAATAGGTTTGAATGAATCGATTAGTTTACTTCAAAATCTGTGGTCAGTTTGATTGGTTTCTGGTGAAGTGGCTTACGGCTAACGTTAATCGACGACATTAAGTCCGTCTGTTTTTGGACGAGTCCTTCCAATTTCACCAAGTGTGCTACAACGTTGTTGGCTTTCAGACTGTCTTTACCGTTGTCGTCCGGTTGCAAACTTTTTAGACTCTCCTGGACCTTCACGATGGCCTCCTCGTTGGTGGTCTTGATGTCTGCCAAATTCGACTGCAACCGGTCCATGACTTCCATGTTCCTAGTGTTGATCGTCTGCTGGTCGGCCAGCTCTCTCTGCAGTGCGCCCAAGTCTTTTGTCAACAGGTCAACGCGCATTTGCAGATCAGCATGCACCCGCTGCGTCTGTTGGTCGATCGAGACGGCCACTGTCTCCGGTGGTGTTTTTGGATTCTTAGCGTAGCGCTGTAGCGCCTTAAGAGTCTGATTGATGTCCGAAGTTCGTGGTTCGCAGCTGACACATTCGCCAATTTTGATCGAACTCGGAGTTAAGCCTTCCACAGAGGTCGCACGCCGTATCGATTTCAGCGCCCAAAACAGTTTGTCGCGTTCCGCCTTTAGGGTTATGATGGTTTCCACACCTTTGGACAGCCAGCGCCGTTGTTCTTCTGTTTCCTGGTCCGTTGACTTGGCCTGTTTCCACTGTGAAAGGTCCAGACGACCGTCTGCCTGCTGCTCGACGTCAGATTGCCGTACCGCGTCCATTGGCATATTCATTAAAGTATTAGCATTAAAAATAAAAAGATGTTCAAAGTGTAAACACTCACAAAGCGTCGTTTGTTTATTCTTGTTGTAGATACGTTTGAGCCAACATTATTGATGGAATGTAACCACTTGATTTCATATCCAAAACGTAGGAAAACTGACGAGAGTAATATTGACACAATTTATTTGTGACTTAAATTTTGAATACCTTAAGAAATACAATTGCACTCCTGTTCGATAAGTTCCAGCAATCCTCGTGGAAGTTTTTGGACGATTTTTATTATTTAGTTGTGCTAAATTCGTTTACTAGAAACGGGTCAAGATATCAAATATTCCATGCAAATTTATTCCAAACAAGATAAATAACTTTAACGCTACATGTACTGTATAGTATTACGAATTTCGATGTAGTCAAATTCCAACGACACTTGGGTCTCGTTAAGTTGTGTAAATGGAATCACATACTTAAACGAATACCAAATAAATACATTTATACGAGTGTTTTGCTTAAAGTATGAGGAGTTGACGTCTAAAAAAGAAAACTCTGCTAAAAACAATAAAAGACAGTAGTCTTTACCCCTTTTTTCATCTTAAACAAGAACCCAGCTGCGACTTTGATAATAATTAAGTGATATTACACAGTTATGTTTTTTAAAAGTAATTTCTTTTCGACAGTTGCAATTTAAACTCAAAACAAAAGCAGTATTGGTATTAATTAATATTAATCACAAACTACAGTAATAATTCTCCAGGAAAAATCGTTATATTACTGCCTTTATTGTAATATTAAAGTATTACAAATTGTAATATTGGCGCTATAGCAATGCTGTTTCCAAGCCTTTTTTAAAATGAATGGCTCAAAAATAATCGCGCTTTTAATTATTTTAACGGTTTACTGTTTTTGTTGCGACAACTCTCAGCAGAAATTAAAGCTCGATTTTAATAACTCTAACTAATTATCGCTGTAATTCAAAGTTTGTTTTATAGAAATATTATTTTTAACGGTTTCCAATTTCTCGATAGCGATATCTGTGGGGATTGTGCGAGGATATCGAAATGGTTTTAATCGAATCTGCGTCTTGACAATATTTTTCAGAATTATTGTTAATCCGTTTGATGAAAATTAGTTTAGTACTCGTGTTTACTCAGAGAAAGCAAAAATAATAATATGTTTCAAGGAACAATTATTTGTTTTTGGGAAAAAGTTTTCATCAAAAACGATCCCCGGGTCGTACGGAGAGTTTTAATTTTTGGAAAATAAAGTTAGGTAGTCAAGTTAGGTACACAATTATAATATCATGTTAATCTGATTTTGTTGCTGAAGTAATTTTCTACGGTGTTCTTAATCGAATTTATTAGGCATAACTAAACTATCGACGCGTTTGTTCACTGCGCTTAATATGTCGACCATAAAAAATCTCTGTGAATCTAATCCGAGGTTTAAAATAACAAAAAACTTCCGAAAGCTCACTTGTAGAAATCGTTTAATCGAGGCAATACCATCGAAAAATATTACACCGCTCGTTACTCAACCCCAGGCCTCCACCCGTACACAACCCTTGTGGCCGGTTGATAGCTTTCTAATTTATTTTTTAACGACTCGCCGGTAAGAAGATACACCAAACTTTTGTACTTATTCACAACTTCAAAGACCTCTGGGGATACAATCTACTTGGATTACACTATATAGTTCCTTAAGCTCTCGGCCGACTACTTTCAAACGGCATTTCTCGACTACACTATATATAAAAACCCATTATGCAAATTTATAGAGTTTTTAATTATTTACAAATGTCGTGTAGTCATTGGAATTTCAAATACATATAAAAAGTTTTTTGCATATAAATTAAACCTCCGTATTCTATTTCATTAATAAGTATTACGTTTCTAGACAACAAACGTCTTACTAATTAATTATGAACAATATTTTTTTATTCTTTGTAAGCTATTATTATTATGTTCAGGAGGTTTTATGTCCATTACATAAGAGCTCTCCTAATGCAGTTAAACGCATAATAACGTCACGAAAGGTCGATATAATAACGCATTGCTTTTAACTAAATTATTATACCATTAACAAATTATTGGTTTTTTTTTTGTAGAAAACGCTGAATTGGATAACTTTGGACTCATAAAAGTAAGTTTATTATTATGCTTATTATCTAATATAACCTATAAACTAGTCTTGTATACAAAGGGTGGCTTTGATTTAGTTAAAAGTGACATTAGAATAGGTAAATAAAAAATTATTATATATTTTAAACTAATAACAGTTTTGCAATAGTGCATTTTGTTTTTGTACCGATTTTCTATCTAAAACAATATGTTTTGAAGAATAGTTTCGTGACTAGAATACAATGCCTTTTGCGTGTTAACCCACTAAATGTACGTTTAATATAGCTGGGTAAGGTATCATAACCGCATCAAGGTACATGAATTATGTAGTTCTGCGGCAAAACGTTGTTATTGAATTTTAACGGTTTCATAAAAAAATGTGCATGTATAAAATGTAATATAGGTTGTTTAAGAATGGACTGCGAAATTAATTAAAGCCTATAATATAAATCTACCGTATAATTTATGTTTTATATATTATGTCCATTCGGCCGAGTTAGGTTTATGCATAGTCGATACATGCCAGGATAGATATTATCTGGGCGGCTGAATGACGAATATAAATTGAGTTTTAAGTGCGGATTTAGTTTTTACGAAACCAACTTGGTAAAAAAAAAAAAAAAAAAAAGAAAGATTTTTGATTTTGATATGGAAGTGTAATGAATTATTACGTTTTAGACTAGGACCTGGTCACGGTAAACACTTAATCAATAAGAGAGGAAATGCGTTTTTTGTTGCAGGGTCAATATAGGCATAAGAGGGCACACAAACGCGGTTAATTGTGCCGTCTAGTATTGAAAACTAATAAACAAAATAAAAATACGGTATCCGCACGCTTTATGAGTTTTGGACAATATCCAAAATGACAAATGTATCTGCATAATATCGCCTGTGCCAGTAAATTAGCGCTCCGGAGTCTGACTATAACAATATTTATACATATATATATATATATATATATATATATATATATATATATATATATATATATATATATATGTATACATTATAACCAATGTGTATTAATAAAACCGAATTTACGAGCCGCTAATGTAATAATTATTATTTTGGAATATCGATTTATGCCGTCTGGATACAGTGGATATCTTTTTACAGCCGTCTTGAATCTTACACAAAAGTAATATTGTGTGTATATGAGTTTTATTGTATTTAGTTTTCTCTTGCATTATCAGGATAAAATCCATTGGACTTAATAAACGCTTATCAGAGGAGTCAATGATATATTTGGAGCGGAGCATTTATCCGTGTGAAAAATAACAAAACCAAAATTAGTGCTCTTGGGATCTTTTAATAGTAAAAAAAACCAATTACACAAATAGTTGCAAACGTATGCAATGTACATTTTGCTTCAATTCCGGTTGGCTGTGACCAAATTTTAATGTTAACGTGGGTGTTTTAAATGACTATCTCATTTCATTCACAATGTTTTTCTCTGAGATTTCACATTGAACACCAGCGCTGCAGATTTATCATGACTGATGCGTGTTTACTTCCCTGGGGTCTTAATGTCGATGAAGAAAGACGATGGAGTCTGGTAATGACGTTACGAACTGACTATACAATATCTGCCTGCATATTTTCCTAGTTGACAAATGGGACTCTAAACATTCGGAATACTTAAATGTGAAAATGTATGTTGATATAACATTACCACGGAATTACAGCTGAAATTTGTGACGTGTGGGCCCAGGAGGGAATATCCCCCCTAATGACTCTAACTTAGCTCAAAATTCTTGGCCCAAACCAAAATAAAAATAAAACATCTACCGTAATAAATTGTAATTTTGTGTTTTTAATATTTATAACATTAATGTCGTTTTCATGAACGTCCACGAAGTGTTGAACGAATCGTTAAAATAAAATTACCGGTTCCGGTGTATAAACACAATTTAGTGGCCATTGAGTGGTCTGTAAATTTACCCACTCCGTTAATATTATGATGCATTTATTATTTATTGATATTTGATTTATTTATTTTGAAATAAAGTCTGGACCAAATCCTAGTTACAGGGATTTGACAATAAAATGCAATAGTTTACAATTGTATACAAATAAAACAAAATATAATAGGTACAGCAGAGATATTAAAAATATTATTGGGGAACACAATGCTTATGTTTGTAACCATTTTTGTAACCATAAATAAAAATATACAAAAGCCGATTCATTTAATTGTTTTGTGCCGTTTAATACATTATATTTTTCGGCGTCAACCCATTAATTACAATTTAAAATATTATATGTGTACAATGTAAATCAATATACAATTGGAATATATAACTGGACTAATACCCTGCTGAATAAAAATCATCATAACCTTCAATTAACATACATGTTTTTATGTAAAAAAGAAGGAAAATTTCTTTGTATTTAATAAACATATTATTGCAAACAAGTATCATAATATCTTAGTACGTTTTTTGTAACTTTATTTACAGATTAATTTAATTTTAATTTTTATTATGCATGTACATTTTATGTGCATGTTTTTGAACATAAAAACGTTTCATGTCATTTTTATTAATCGAATGTTTAAAAATTTTGTCACGTATACAAAAGAATTCATTTGAAAACTGATTAAAATATATTAGTTTTATGAGTTTTGTTTAACTATTCTCTGTACAACAGTCATATAATTTGGCATTTTCTTAATTTATCATACTGCCTAATAGGGATATTATATAGTATACTTGATATAATATATAGGTAGTACATATTATTTAATGTTACCAATAGTTGTTAAAAGGAGTGTTTATTTGATATCTAACGTTGTTATTTAAATTATAAGTTATAAATCCGGTGTTCGTAGAAAGAAACATAATTTGACCGAACTAGTATATTTTATTGTGTTCTATAAAATCCCTTTTAGATCCTTTAACCTTAAGAGTGTTCACCTTTTTTGAAAGTTTCTAAGAAACATTTGTGATAGGTTCTTTTGATGTTTGCTACGAATCAATTTTTTCTATACAATTTTGCGAACCGGAATATTTTATGTACTTCAATTTTTTTACTTCATATATATATAAATAAATGTTGCCTCAGTAGCTTCGTCTACGTATTAATATAATTGTAATACTTTCTTTATTATCAATTGTATTTCTATATAATATTACTTGCAATCGTTTCGTTTTTGTAAATCGTTTTCCTGTTTGAGCCAGACGAATCACTTCATATCCATTAACAAGTTCAACACGCTTGTCATCTAAAATGTGTTAAAATTCTACTCAATTATCATCGCCTGACACCACTGTATAGTTTAAACAAAACCAATCATACGGTTATTACACACAACACAATATAGTAATTTACACCGGAAATGTGTGCGAGTCGGAACAATCGACAAAGTTTAACGTTATGTGCCGACCAAAGTATTTTATTTAAAATATTTACACGCTTCAAAATAGGAATAACAAAACAATAATAATATTTTAACCACACAAACAATTTGCATAATTCATAAACTCGGTTAAAAACAAAAAATGTATCGTCAACACTTTAATGCATAACCATTTCTGGAAAGAAACAAAATCATTTTATATTATAAACAAGCAACAATAATGGGGGTGCTAGTTTTAAAAGTGGGGGGGGGGGGGGGTGCTTAATCACACAGTTTGCGCCCCCTTGCGTACAAAGTGGTTGAAAAAATCATTTTTTCACCTGACAATCGACCAAGAAAAAAAGTGTTTTAATGAGCTCACAATAGTATCATAGAAATTACAGCTGTTACGAGTCTGCAATAGCTATCGACCGCGTTAGTTGTACTCGACAAATCTCAGGTACTCGGTCCGACTCGGACTGTGTACCCGTTCGATCATCGGGTTCCGGTGGGCTTTCCACGTGTTACCCCTTTCGGGAGCCTGTAATTGGTCGCTGACCGCCAAAGTGAAACGACTCGACTCGGTTAGCTTAACTGCAGAGCTGGTGGCCGGATTTAATTACGCGTCGTATCCAACACAGCAACACTGTGCTGTACGTCGGCCTCGCCCCTTTTGTGCGCAGCAACAGTGTACGGAAAACACAAGCAGATCGGCGTACACGTGCGTTCCGAAAACACACGGCGTCTTTAAAAACAACCGAATTAGACATCCGGTAGTTTATACGAACGTGATTAATGGATACCGGGGTGTGCGGGCGAGGCACGGCTCGGGTATAAAATCAAATACACGTGTATATATGTATATAATATACCGGAACGCATGGTGTAAGACTCGCTGCGATAATGTGTGCGCGCCAAGTTCCTTTGCTCGAGTGCCGTGTGAGACGCTTCGCAATAGTAATACCGCGGGCGAATTCACATCGGCGGCGACACGGTTAGGGCGGCAGAGCGGCTGTTATGTTCCTTCTTGCACACCGCTCTCTCGGTTCGCTGACGATGCTACAGCCGCTGCCGCTGACACCGCGTTAGACGCCAGTGTCAGAGATTCGACGCCCAAAAAGTACGCTGTCAAAGTACATACTAGATATGGTCGCGTTTTTATCGAATCGAATGTGGACGAAAACCGACGTATTTAAAACGAGGCTAAAACAGGGCACGTGAAAAAAAAAATAAAATAAAAAAATTGCCGTTATCGCAGAAAAGGCACTCGTGCTGAACATAATAATAATAATAATATCATAATCTCGAACCACCTTTACAATCACTTTGAAACAATATATTTTAATAAAGAGACAAAAAAAAAAAATGTCGATGCAAGATAAAATAATCAATAAGTAATAATCATTATTTAAGAAAAAAACGTATATTTGTATCTCATTATCACCATGAAATGTCCAATTTATCGTATTACAATGTAATTTAAATTTGTCGGTAATACTAAAATTACTTATTTTTAATAAAAAAATAGTTTTCATAATATTCATAGTAATTTTATGCATAAACCGAAGCCTCAAAACCCTTTAAGTACCTTGAGTTTTATAATATTTCTTAAAATGATCGTACAGACTATATGAAATCTTTTAGGATTTCGTACGTTGTGCCTATAAAATTTAATCTATTCTATA